TGCGAAATGATGGAGCTGGGCATCAACTTCAGGAAGTGGACTGGAGGGCTCAATGGTGCTGAGGTGGAGATGGTCAAGGCTTCAAGTTCCTAGGAGTAAGTATCGCCAACAATCTGCCCGGGTCTGTCCATGTTGATGCTGCGATGACGAAAGCACAGCAACGCCTCTACTTCCGCGGGAGGCTAAGGAAATTCGGCAGGTCCACAATGATTCTTACCCATTGTTATAGATGCACCATAGAAAGCACAACAGCTTGGTATGGCAACTGCTGTGCCCAAGGCCACAAGAAATTACAGGGAGTTATGAACACAGCCCAGTCCATCAGAAAATAAACCAGCCTTCCTCCTTTTGCTGCCTCGGGAAAGCAGCCAACATAATCAAAGACCCCTCCCACCTCAGTTATAGTCTCTTCCATTCTGTTCCCCTGGGCAGAAGATACAAAAGTTTGAAAACATGTACCAACAGATTCAAGAACAGCTCCTTCCCTGCTGTTATCAGACTTATGAACGGACCGCTCATAAATTAAAGTTGATCTTTCTCTGCACCTTCTCTGTAGTTATAACAGTATCTTCTGCATTCTGCCTATTACCCTGATGTACTTATGTAAAGTATGATTTGCCTGGTTAGCACGCAAAACACTACTGTTCACTGTATCATGGTACATGTGACAATAATCGATCAAATCAAATCAGTGATTTCATTGAATGTTGGAGCAGACCCGATGGGCTGAATGGCCTACTTCTGCTCTTAGTGAAGGGGCTGGAATAAACAAAGGGACAGAACTGACGCCTCGGTTGTAATAATTCGAGCTCCTGTGGAGTAATTATGTTCAGTTCAGGACAAAGCATTTCAGGAAGGATGTACCAGTCCTGGAACAGTCGCAGTTCACTAGATTCGCCAGAATTGTGATGGGTTAAATTTTGAATCCAGATTAAAGATAGAAACATAGGAGCAGGTGGAGGTCATTCGACCCTTTGAGCCTGCTCTGCCATTCATGATGATCATGGCTAATCATCCAATTCAACAGCCTAATCCTGCTTTCTCCCCATAACCTTTGATCCCATTCGCCCCAAGTGCTATATCTAGTCGCCTCTTGAATACATTCAATGTTTTGGCATCAACTACTTCCTGTGGGAATGAATACCACAGGCTCACCATTCTTTGGTTGAAGAAATGTCTCCTCATCTCCGTCCTAAATGGTCTACCCCAAATCCTCAGACTGTGACCCTGATTCTGGACACACCCACCATCGGGAACGTCCTCCCTGCATCTACCCTGTCCAGTCCTGTTAGAATTTTATAAGTCTCTCTGCGATCCCCCTCATTTGCCTGAACTTAGCGAAAACAATCCTGACCTAGTCAATCTCTCATACATCAGACCCACCATCCCCGGAATCAGCCTGGTAAACCTTCACTGCACTCCCTTGAGAGCCAAGAGCATCCTTCCTTAGAACAGGAGACCAAAACTGCACACAATATTCCAGGTGTGGTCTCACCAAGGCCCTGTATAACTGCAACAATACATCCCTGCTCCTGTACTCGAAACCTCTCGCAATGAAGGCCAACATACCATTTACCTTCTTTACCGCCTGCTGCACCTGCATGCACAAGGACACCCAGGTCCCACTGCACACGCCCCTCTCCCAATTTAAGTGAGATTAACTTGAGTTTCCTTTGAGCATGGTCGGGTAGTTTAATTGAGGTGTTTAAAATGTGAATTTCAAATAAACTTGATGGACTATAACCTGGTGCCATGTGAGTTCTGGCTTTGACCACGCTGGAGTGGCATCTCCTCATATTGATTGGGAGGGGAGTTGATAGAGTGGGGTGTTTGGGAGTCTAGAATGTGGGGCATTAACTTATAATAAGAGCCAGTTCATTCAGGAAATCAAGAAGTTGATCTAAATTCACACAAAAAGTTGTGAGAACCAGGCACCGCCTCCAGCCTGGAAGCTTTCAGCACCAAGATTGATTGATCTTTGTTCATTGAAGAGTTCACTGAAGGAGGTGGTGCAAAGACAAGTTAATGAAATGAAGGTTCTGACCAATTGTGATAACAAGGTGTAGAGCTGGATGAACACAGCAGGCCAAGCAAGAAGGCTGACGTTTTGGGTCTGGACCCTTCTTCAGAAATGGAAGGAGGGTCCAGACTGAAGAAGGGTCTAGGCCCGAAACGTCAGCTTTCCTGCTCCTCTGATGCTGCTTGGCCTGCTGTGTTCATCCAGCTCTACACCTTGTTATCTCAGATTCTCCAGCATCTGCATTTCCTACTATCTCTGATCAATTGTGTTCTGGTTGAATGATGGAACAGGCTTGAGGGGCTGAATGGCCTACTCCCATTCCTATAATTGTGTATTCCTATTTCTCCTGCCAAAACGAACCCGTTTTATACTTGTCGATATTCATCTTCTTTTGCCATTTGTCAACCCACTTTGCCAGCTTGTTGGTGTCCTGCTTCATTTTGGCATCATCACCTATTCCTTTCTGTTCTCTTCCAGTGGCCTTTGTTCCTGGAATGTGATCATTCCCACATGACTTCCATCTTGGCAATAGTCTCAGGTACATCTAAGGCCGAGCTGTAGAATCTTCCAGTATTTCGGTTTGGAGAGTGATGATTGTGTAGACACTCAACTGATCAAAGGGACATGTCTAAAGAAGTTGTTTTGTTGCTACATAAGTAATTGGTCAGGTCCCATTTGTTTTGTTAATCACAGGAAGGATGTCATTTTAGACGGAGTCGAGTTTTTGTTAGCTTAGAGCATGCATGGGCCCAGGAGAGGATATTTGTTTTTACTGGTTCACAGGGTGTGGACTTCGCTAGCTGGGCAGCATTTATTACTCATCCAGTTCTGAGAAAGGATCACTGGACCCAAAACATTAACTGATTTCTCTCCACAGATGCTGCCAGACCTGCTGAGCTTTTCCAGTGATTTCTGTTTTTGATTCTGATTCACAACATCCGCAGTTCTTTCGGTTTTTATTTATTACCCGTCCCTAGTTGCCCCCAGAGAAGGTGGGGGTGAGCTGCCTTCTTGAACTGCTGCAGTCCTTGTGCTGTAGGTAAACCCACAACGTCCTTAGAGAGGGAATTCCAGGATTTTGACCCAATGAACAAACACTGATATGTTTTCAGGTCAGGATGGCTGAATGGCTTGGAGGGGAACTTGCTGGGGATGGTGTTCCTGTGTATCTGCTGCTCCTGTCCTTCTAGATGATGGTGTCTGTGAAAGGGTTTGGTGCATGAACTGATGTTGTCCCCTCAGACTGTTTAAATTTCCGCTCTGTTTCTTTACCCAAAAATAAAAGACAAAAGCTTGCAGTTCAGTAGATAAATGAAGGAACTGGCTGTTCAAAATATTTCTTGGCAAATTAGTATAATTCTATGCTAATTCGTTGTTATCCACCTAACAGACATCCAGCACCTTTATCTTTTTGCAGCTGATGTACTGGCTCGCAGGCGTCTCTAGTTCCTAGCTCTGTCATGTTGCTGAGCTACTGTCTGGATTTGATGGATGGATGTGGGTTGCCATGGAAACAGTTGATCTGAGACTGTAAGGCACAGGTCGTGTTTGGATCACTATCCGCCAACGGCAGTTGGTCAGAATTTTATTAACAGCGGCACCTCGGGCTCTTGTGTCACAGAGTTAGTGACACTTACTCCGTCATCTGAGTCAGGGGGATGTAGGTTCAAGTCTTATCTGCTCCAGAAGTGTACAATAACTGGTTGATTGGAAAATATCTGAAATGCCTTAAAGGTGGCATAAAATAAAATTGCCGCATAAGGCCTTTCAGCTGTTTATGCATAATCTGGCTCAGTTGGAAAAAAAAGCAATTCAATTAATCCAGAGATAGTAAGAACTGCCGATGCTGGAGTCATTGATAACACATGTGGAGCTGGAGGAACACAGCAGGGAAAGGTCCGGACCCAAAAATTCAATTAATCCCATGTGACCCTCCCCCATGGTAAAGATGCTATTCTAATAAGGAGTTGCATATTAGGGTTTTGCAAACTCTGTGGGTTAGATTATTCCCAGCAGTAAAACCCATTGTAGGTTCTGAAGCATTGTAGTAAAACAACTGTGTGTGCAGTTTGCAGATTAACCAGCAGGCAGACTCACAACAGTGTATACACAGACTCCTTAATTGTCAGTTCTCTTCCAGGCATGGTAAATATGTAACAACAATCTTTACCTGAAAATAAAACGTCTTTTGCAAATACTTACTAATTTCCTTTTGAAAGATGTTATTGCATAAGTTCCCGTGCTCCTTCAGTTCCTTTTTGATGATAGCAACTTGCGTTATAAAATAAATGTTCCCCATTTCCCCAACTATGCAGCGGCAAAGGGAGTGAGCATTGAAGGTAGTGACGGAGTGAGCGTTGAAGGTAGTGACGGAGCGAGCGTTGAAGGTGGTGACAGAGTGAGTGTTGAAGGTGGTGACGGAGTGAGTGTTGAAGGTGGTGACGGAGAGAGCGTTGAAGATGGTGACGGAGAGAGCATTGAAGGTGGTGACGGAGAGAGCGTAGAAGGTGGTGACGGAGTGAGTGTTGAAGGTGGTGACGGAGTGAGCGTTGAAGGTGATGACAGAGAGAGCGTTGAAGGTGGTGACGGAGCGAGCGTTGAAGATGATGACGGAGAGAGGGTTGAAGGTGGTGACGGAGCAAGCGTTGAAGGTGGTGACGGAGAGAGGGTTGAAGGTGGTGACGGAGAGAGTGTTGAAGATGGTGACGGACTGAGTGAGTGTTGAAGATGGTGATGGAGAGAGTGTTGAAGATGATGATGGAGTGAGTGAGGGTTGAGTGTGGTGATGGAGAGAGTGTTGAAGATGATGATGGAGGGCTGCTCCAGTGGTCTGTTTTGTCCTGGGTAATAATGATACTCTCCGCTGCCCTTTCCTTTCCCTGAAAATGTGTCCAACTCCCCTTCTGATTGTACTGTCCCTTTAGGTGCTGTGTTCTAGATTGTAACTTGGTGTGTTTTTGTTTCAATGGTGCATTTACAGACAATCTGTGGAATGACCAATCCCTGGAGATAGACCCAGACCTACCCCCAGGCTGGAGAATGATCCGGGACACATGTGGCACTTACTATTGGCACATACCAACTGGCACTACACAATGGCAGCACCCAGTGTCCACATCAGACATCAGCCTGGACTCCAGGAAATTGTCACCAGGCCTGTCCCCAACCCTGGAGCACAAGGTGAGACATACAGACAGAGAAAGCTCAAAGGAGCAATGGAGCCATTTTATCGCAAAATGTAGGGTTGGGTGCAGATGTGCGTGAGTGAGTCAATGTGAGTGAGTGAGTAAATAGGTGAGTTTGTGTGTTTCAGTGTGAGTATGTGTTTGTGTGTGTGTGCGAGAATGTGTGTCTGTCTCAGTGTGATTGAGTGTGTTTTTGTGTGTATGTGTGTGTCTGAATGTGTGTGTGTTTGCGTGTGTCTGCGTGCATGTGTGTATCAGCGTGAGTGTGTGTCTGTGCCCATGTGTGTGTGTGCAAGAGTGTGTGTTTGTGCTAGTGTGTGAGTGAAAGTGTGTGTGCCTGTGTGTCAGTGCCGTTGTGAGTGTGCATGTGTGCACATATGAGAGTGTGCAGGTGTGTCAGTAATCATCGAGTGAATGTGAATTTCCTGTGTGAGTGTATCAGCGTTTCTCTGTATCGGTGTGAGAGATGTGAGGTAGTCTCTGTCAGTTTCTGGGAAGCTATGTACTCTATTCTCTCCAGATATCTGAGTGTAATTTCCCTGTTTCTGTCTGTCTCAGGCTGTTATCCCAGGAGCTGCTGGTGTACACCGATTGCCCCGAGGAGGGAGGTTCCAGAGCTCCATGCCTGCTTCTTCATCGATAAACCTGAGGTAAGATGGTGTGTGATTCCAGGGAACTGGGGTATTAATTTGTTGATACCCTGAATGCACAGTGTAAAGACAGCTCTACTTAGTGACGGACCAGTGTCAGGATTCTTCAGCGGCTCTACCCTGAAATAAAATAAATGAACTGAGAAAACGGGACAGTATGTCCCCTGTGAGCATGTCAATTTATCAGACAGTTTTAAAGTCGCGACACAGGCTGAAGGACCCAGCCTGTAGTAACATGTTGAGGTGGAACTGCTGAATGGTGACAGTCCCAAGGTCAAACTTACTTCAAGATACAGAATCATTGATAATTTGTCGTACAGGGACAGGCCATTCATTCCATACCAAATAAGAAAAGCCATCCAGACTAATCCGATGTGCCTGCTCTGGCTCATGTAATTTATGTCACCTCAGGAGTGCATGGTCTAAGTAGTTTTTAAAATACAGTGAAGGTTTCTCCCTCTACTCTTTCTTTCAATGCATCCTCTCTGTGTAAAACACTTTCTCTTCAGTAACATGCAATCTTTCCTTCAATTAGACTCAGAATCTGTACGGTGTGAAAGCAGGCCATTCAGCCCGTTGAGTCCACACTGACCCTCCGAAGAGAGCCACCCTCCCACCCTATCCCTGTAACCCTGCATTTCTCACGGCCAATCCACCTAACCTGCACATCTTTGGACTGTGGGAGGAAATCCACGCAGACACAGAATGTGCAAGCTCCACACAGACAGTCACCTAAGGGTGGAATCGGGCCTGGATCCCCAGCGCTGTGAGGTAGCAGTGCTAACCGCTGAGCCGCTGTGCCACAATTAGTTGGATTCTGAGTGTGGAAGCATTGGAAAGGGTGCAGAGGAGATTTACCAGGATGTTGCCTGGTATGGAGGGAAGGTCTTATGAGGAAAGGCTGAGGGACTTGAGGCTGTTTTCGTTAGAGAGAAGAAGGTTAAGAGGTGACTTAATAGAGACATACAAGATGATCAGAGGATTAGATAGGGTGGACAGTGAGAGCCTTTTTCCTCGGATGGTGATGGCTAGCACGAGGGGACATAGCTTTAAATTGAAGGGTGATAGATATAGGACAGATGTCAGAGGTAGGTTCTTTACTCAGAGAGTAGTAAGGGCATGGAATGCCCTGCCTGCAAAAATAGTAGACTCGCCAACTTTAAGGGCATTTAAATGGTCATTGGATAAACATATGGATGATAATGGAATAGT